TTGAGGGCCACTCGACGCCAGCTGAGGACCGTTGGACTCCAGCTGAGGACCGTTTGAGGCCTTCTAATGGTCATTTGGCGCCAGCTGAGAGCCCTCTGACACCAGCTGGGGGCCCTCTGACACCAGCTGGAGCCCTCTGACACCAACTAAGGACCCTTTAAGGCCTTCGGAGGGCCGTTTGATGCGAGGTCAGCTCAGAGCCCTTTGACGCCCTTAAAGGCCCTCTGAGATCCGTTTGACGTTAGCTGAGGGCCCCTTGAGGCCATATGAGGGCCCTGTGAGGCCATCTGAGGGACGCGGCCCCCTCGCCTTGGGACCTAGCCCCTGCTGATTTGACCTACTGCGTCCCTGCCCTGTGCCCTGTCCGGTTCCCTGACCTGTGCCCTGCTGCGTGCCCTGACCTGTAACCTTCCCTCTAAAATGTCCTGTGCCATGCCCTGTAACCTGCCGTGCCTTGCTTTCTGCCCTCCTTAGTGCCCTATTCTGTTCCTTGCCCTGTGCTCTTAGTCGTACCTAGCACGTGCCCTCTGCTCAACTTTGGGACGCAGTAAAAATTTGTTAAAATATGCCCTGATTTTAAGGGCCATTGAAATTTCACCACAACGACCCTGGCTGCGCTACTGGGCATATGATGGACTATATGGTCCTGCTGGGGAGTGAGCTGGGCCTTCCCAGTCTTTTCAATCATTATTTCAGCAGTCAGCTCATTGTTAGGTATGTACCTACACGGTCTTCGGCCGAGTTCGGCGGTCTTAAGGCCGCCTCAAATGGGCCCCTAATCCTTCGAGTTGGGCCCCCCAACTCGAATAGGGGACACGGGCCCGTGTGCCCCCCCCCCCCTTGTGTGCGCACTGCGCCCTTGCCTGTCTTTTACGATCCTTTGTCTGGTTACCCACCCAAGCAGCCTTGGTGAAGACTGTCATGTCCTCTAGCACAGGAGCCTAAAGCAGAGGTTCAGCTGCTGCTGCTAGATGTCACTTATGTCAATATTTTTGCTTTTAGTAATGCCAATTATGTCCCGGCTCATCATATCTATTTAATTTTATATGCATCAAGTAATGTATATTCTATTTTTCAAATATTGAAAATAATATGAACATCACATAAGCTTATAAATTAAGGTAAATTTAAAAGAACATTTAGAAAGAAAGCAGTTGATTTGTTTGTGAAACCGTCACCTCTAGCCATGGCTGCACATTGTTTTGTTTTGTCGCATTTCGACAAACGTGGCTGAGTGACCGTGGCGCTGGGGTGCGCGTTTTGTTCATCGAGGACACTGAACTCTATAATGTGGAATGCGCATCGGCCGCCAGATGGTGTCCAACGGTGCCGCCATGTTGCGCAGACCAGAAAGCGGCCGCCGCCTGTGTTGGGGAATAGGGAATTCGGGACCTCGATTTACGTTTACGGTCGCTGCATCCGTTACGTTCAAGCTATGTGGACACGGAACCCAGCATCTTACGCAGAATTGAATGGAGAACAAGATGAAATCCTAAAAAATCCTCAGATATAAGGAACTAATACGTTAAACCCTTATAAGTGAATGGGGAAATATGAAAATTGCTATTTTGGCGCCGAAAATGATCTGAAACCAGGGGCCCGGGAACGATTTTCAAGTTGGGGGGGCGAGCCTAAAATATCTGACATGATGCATATGAAACAGTGGCGTAGCTAGGGGTCTAAGGGGAGGCGTACCCCCCCCCCCCCCCATTGGGTTCAAAGGGACCTTCGGGTCCGAGGGGCCCTGCGGCGCCATTTGACCGCTGAAGGTCAAACCGCTGACCGCCCCATGGGGCTCGTTAGAGCACCTCATGGGCCCTAAATACTAAATAGCCACACTAAGATCTCCATAAGGGCCCCACGCCGGCTTCTGAGCGCCTCTTGCGCCTTTTCAGGGCACCTCGGTGGTCTCCAAAGGCCCGTTACTGGCCTCTGAGAGTCCTTTACCGGCCTATGAGGGGCCAGTTCTAGGGGCATTTCCCGCCTGTGATGGTCCCACAGATACAGATACAGATACAGATACAGATATATTCGAGCCAGATCCACACATTGGAGTGGCTTTTCACAAGCTCACGTCATACGATGGGGAATATCATGGGGAGGGGGAGTATATCGAGCACACATCCACGCATTCACAAATCACAGTACGTATGCTCAACATAGACACACACAATCTAAGCATCTTGTTCAGGCATTGCTCGCAGCACCTTCATAGCGTTAGCTCTGAAAGATGACACCATTGGGTCAACTTTGAGCTGGTTGAGTCGTGCCACTCCCCTGTAGCACAGCCGCCGTCGGCCACACTTATTTTTCTGAGGGCCCCATAACGGCAACTATGGGGCCCTCATCGGCGCCTATGAGGGCCCACACCGGTGTCTCTGAGGGTTTCACACCCCCCAACTCTGAGTGCCTACACCAGTGCCTATTAAAATTAAGCCCTGTATCGGCGGCTCTGAGGACCCAACCAACACCTGTGCATCTGAAGGCCACCCACTGGTGACTTTTGAGGGTCCCACACCGATGAGTCTGAGGGCCCCACCGGCGTCTGACAGTACCATGCCGGTCTCTAAGGACCCCACAGGACTTCTCCTGCCGGCCTAAGGACCCCTTGCCGGTCACTGAGACCCCCTGCCGGCTTGTAAAGAGTTCGCGTCAGCAGCTCTAAAGCCCCCACACCCGTCTGCAACGGCTCCACACCAGCGTTTATGAGGGCCCACAACAACGCCTGTAAGGACCCTCATCGGCGCCTCTGAGAGAATCACACTAGCACCTCTGAGCGCCCACACCGGCACCTGCATGACGGCCCCACACCGGTGCCTCTAAAGGCCCCTTACCGGCGGCTCTGAGGGCCCTACGCCGGTGATTCTGAGGGTGCTACCGATAACCGAAGGCACCACACACACAAGCCCTTAGTGTCGCTGAGCTTTAATCCCATACCGGCCCTCCGAGGGCGCCACGTCAGTGCGCTCATTTCCCCACACCCCTCCCTCACACCCCCGGAGCGGGTAAACTGCGTTATACCTAAAGCAACGATTTTACCACCGTTGTAGGTACGTTATGCATTTCTCAAAGTTGATTCAAAATGGTCCAGTATAAAACTGGCCTGCCAAGCTTATGGCCAAGGTCAGGCCCAAATCAAAGTGGGATGACAATAGCAGATGTTATCAAATCGATACTGTATCAGCAGAAACCATTTCAGATGGCAAGGAAAATGCCGTGTGTTGATGTTTAGATGTATAAAGGAAACAAGAAGAAAAGAAATCCGGAAAAGGGAGGAAAGACCTTTTCTAGCTGCCTCAATGTTGAGGGGGCGCCGCCCCCTCGGCTCCAAAGTTGGGGGGGCAAGCGCCCCCGCTGCCCCCCCTGTTCCCGGGTCTATGTCTGAAACTATCTCAAGCATATAGAATCATGATTTCATGCACTCCTTGCAAGGTTATATGCTTCATATTTACATTGTTGCTCTTGCGTGACGTCATTTGTGACGTCACAAGGGTCACAATTTTTCTTCAATAACTCCCGATCAAATTGAGCTAGCGAGTCGGGAAAGCCACCAATGGACTCAGGAAGACCTGCCGAATCGAATGATATGCGACATGACCTCTTTCGACCAACTTCGTGACCTGGGGGTGCTGACCTGACCTTGACATGAGGTCAACACCCTAAGTTGACCTGAACCGAACAAAAAGTATATCATTCGATGCGCCTGAGCTAGCTGAACACGATGATGCCAAAATCGCGGCTCCACGGCCATTTTTGGCGAAGTTATTTACAAAAAAAAACGAACCCTTGCCTTAGATTACTTGACCTGACCTCAGAGGTCACCGGTTGACCTGAGACCTTTACAGCGGGTTCCTACCAGTCACTCTGCATTATACTTTGCCGCATACGGCCACTTTACCGCTTAATTCTAGTTAAATTAGCGGCGCATTAGCGAGGTGGGTTCAATCAACCCCCTCGGCCGGGGCAAATGTAGGTCCGGCGAGTGAATTTGAGGAATTCTGAAGATACGATCGTGTTCCCCACTCAATTCTGCGTAAGATGCCGGGTTCCGTATCTACGTAACTTGAACGTAACGGATGCGGCGGCCGCAAACGTAACTCGAGGTCCCGAATTCCCTATTCCTCAACACAGGCGGCGGCCGGTTCTTGGTCTGCGCAATATGGCCGCCACCGTTAGACACCACGGCCAATAGGATTGAAGCGGCATTGCTCCCCTGTGATCGAGGACCATTTATCGTGGATTCTGGGTAGGTTGTTGCGGTTTGCTTATGTTTGTTAACTTGAAAACGCTTAGCATTCACTCATGGCCTTACTTAAAGGAAGACTGCCACCTTCAAAAAGTTTTCTCAGATCGGCCTATGATTTATTCCCTGGACAAAACAAAATTTTAGAATTCACCTGACAAAGTATCATCACGTAAATCGCGAAAAAAAATTGTCGATTATCATACAATTATCAATCGGTTAATGTCTAGCGACAATGTTTACACATCACTAGACTTCAAGGTCATAAGATTATTACATTTTATTTGAAAAAGTAAGGTATTTTATGATTTACTAATATATGATTTCATAAGAAATTGGCCATGTTTAATTTATTTTGCATTTAAGTTCGTAAAACATTTAAAAATCATGGCTCATTTGGAATCAGGGTCTGGCCCATGTTAAACCCCATTTCCCACACTTTTTTGGAAAAAATGAACTACTGAATATATAAGTTTAACTTTTATTTTGACACTCCAAAATTCTTCTCTGATCTCGAAACAATCAAAGTTTTGACATATATTTACCAAAAGATAAGAAAATTCATGTTTCAAAGTTATCGATAAACAGTAGAGATGTCGGTTTTCTTGGACTAAAAAAATGGCATCAAACTGAACTTTGATCTGCTTTGATCTCCGATTTCTCGCAAACGGGTTCGAATTTCGGAAAACCGACTTCAGTCTGGGACATAGGTGGCTCAGCTCTAGTGAAAACCGTTTTGTGGAAAAAAGGTGGCAGTCTACCTTTAACAAAATTTCTCCTTGGATTTTCGCTGATTCATCCGCCAGACGAAAGCTGGCGCGCGGCAGACTGCAGAGCACTTGTGGGGATTCCCGTATCAGCCCCCAGCCCCCTGACCCCTCTCCGCTGTTTTTTTTTTTGTACAGCCCTCTGCAGACTGCGTGGTAGGTATTCTTTTTTTGACAAAAACGAGAATGACGCAAATACTATGCTATCGGTCATTCGGAAATCTGATCAAAGACCTTCGTTTGAACTGTTCACTTCTTTATTAGATGCGCGAGACTCCACATCTTAGATTGGCATCATCACCATACTCATTTTTCATCTAGTTTGGCAACAAAGCCTAAAAGTTTATATTTGCCCCCAAAGAAACTTTTGCATTTTGTTGCCACACAAGGCGCATACTTCATTAAGTTATAGACCTATTCGAAGGAGTGGAGGATGGAGCATCTATTTGCAATGAGTTCCGACTGACTGAAAGTATAGTCTTTGAGTTATGATTGGTTTTGTCAAAAAAAGAATACCTACCATGCAGTCTGCTGAGGGCTGTACCTATTTCAGTGTGCTTTGTTTGGCCCCTTAATTCCTTCCCCTATTGTTTTCAGAGTGAAATTGCACCAAACTGTTGACTCACAGGAAGCCAGCTGGAGAAAAGATGCCTCAGGGGGAGGAAACCATCCCTCAAGAGACAACACCTCTTCTCCGAACATCAGACAGATCTGATGGTGAGTAGGTATTAACACACAATATGCTGAGAAGATTGACAAATAGAAATTGAAACCTTGCAAAGAGAAAGAGCCTGCCCAATTGAGCAACAATGGCCTGTTGGGGGATAATTTGATAAATAAGCACACAAATACAAGATTGGCAAGAGTGAACTTCTTGCTGTATGGTTCATGTAATAGGGAATCCAGTTTGAACTTTAAAAATTACACTGAATGAATATGACCCAGACCAACTGGCACAAGGAGGTACTGGAGAGGTCTGAATGAAATGCATATGAAGCATTCTTGTAGCCTGTGTTTTGGAGATATTATGACATCAAGATCAAGGCACAGCTTGAAATTGAACATATGTTTCCTAATGGCTGAATCAGACAATATCTTTCAAATTAAGCACAATTCAGTAAGTGCAAATTCATGCCAACTAGGCTGTTCAAGGTCAAGATCCTGATCAAATCAGAAAGGTCATAAATCTTCAGATGACTCTTTAGTCCCTGCTTCAGACCTGGTTTCAATCTAAATTGACAATCTTTAACCAGACCTTGGCCTCCAAATTCAAGCATTTTACATGGGAATTGTATGTTATTGATGCTAGAAACATTTATGACCCACTTTAATACTAAACATTAGTACTGTTTTATTATGCTCTGCAAATACCTATTTGAATCTGACTGTGAATGTCAATGTGCACCATTGTCAAATAAACTGGTGCCGAATGTGAATAGAAATTGGAATGTCGATCAGATCAAGGTCAGCGATATTCGGAACGAATTGAATGCATGTATCTGAAAGTGAATATGATGCAAATATACACACATACCGACATCGATTTGAAACCCATGGCTGAGTTGGTCGAGTGTTGGAATCCTAGGGTTGAAGGCCCTTACACTAGTCACTTGATCAGCATTCATGCGCTGATGATGAAATTTGGAGTTGGCTCCTGACGGGATGACCCCGTCTTGCAACTAAGGAGATAATTTTTATTGGCTAGCCTCACGACTTTGATTAATTGAATCGAAAATGATATAGTTAATAGTATGACAAGCTGCAAAAGCATGGCTACTGGTGCCTTCGATCGCATGCCTCTCTGACACCGGGACGGCTGGGCCCGACTTCCTCCACTCGCGTGTCCAACGTTCAGTCCTTTCGCGGGGCCGGCATGCATTATGCATTCGGTAGCCCGGATTATGTAATATGTAATAGGCCGGAATAGCTAGTTCCAAGGACGTGAAGTGCCGGCGGCGGCGGCCATTGACCACCGCGCCGGTGGGTCGTTGGCGGTGCAGAGAGGCTTACGGAGCTCTTGGGGTGCTGCAGACTCGATTCCGAGCTGTCGGAGCTCGTGTAGAGCTGTTGGCTCTACACCGAGCTGGCGGAGCTCCTGTGGAGCTGCAGAGTGCAGACTTCACCAAGCTGGCCGAACTCTTTGGGAGCTGCATACTTTTATAACACGAGCTGATGGAGCTCTTGGAGAACTGTAGGCTTCACGCCGAGCTGACGGAGCTCCCGAATAAATGGAGACTTTTTTCTGACCTGAAGGAGCACTAGAAAGAAAAACTGCGCATCGAGCTAACGCAACCTATGGGAAAAGGTTGTGCGCTATCTGAGGCATAGGCCGTCGAGTTGGTTCAACGCCGAGCCGGTAGTAGGTGAAGGGGCTTTGGGGAAAGTGTTTCCTTGCACCGCATCATTACCAGATGATCTTTATCGTTAGGTGGATCCCTAGACCCTAGGTCATGTAGCGGTGTGGCAATTATATTTTTTAGACTGTTCTGTTTCGTTGAAGGAGCACGTGCTTTCCTAACAACCGAACAAAAACATCTGTGTCATTCCCCCCCCCCCCTGTTTGTTACTCAGCGGTCCTGTTTTGTCTCCTGTGGACTAAAACACAGCTCAGGTCCAAAGGTCTCCGTCGGACAGCGTGGTTCTGAGTCACTGATAGGGCGCGGACCGCCGCCAGCCGCGTCCGATGGGCAGTGACGGGTCGTGTCAGTGTCCGAGAGGCCGGCTGCGCTCTGCGCTTTGTTCTGAAGAAGCCATATTGCAGACCCCACCACAAGGCTGCGCGACTTGCAATACAGACTTCGCTGTTTATAGATCAGATACAAGAGTGACTGCTAGCAATATTGTTTTAGGACGATGACCGACATTCAGTACGTTGCGATGTCGAAAGATACTAAGAAAGCTGGATCGGCCAAGAAATCAGGTAAGAAATTGAGCTGTTCCAAATGCAAGATTGCCACGTCTCGCGTTGGAGACCGCCCTTAGCTCGATTTTCTTGGAATTACAATTGGTGCTCGGATCTGATTCAGTCTTCTCCATCCATGAGATTGCATGCACCGCCAACTTAGCCCGCTTCATTGTGATTTATACATGGGTGCTAAATGGAGCCTGTGATTGTGCTAACTTCAGTCGGTATAAAACACAAATATTGAACTCGAGCTTACATAATTGAAGGTTGTTATCATCTTGATACACAATCTTACGTAACTGTGAGTTGTGACAAAGATCGCACTCACCTTATCACGACAACGAACGTCCTGTATGCATAGTGGATACGGTTGGCCTACCGACCGCGCACAAACTGCTGACGTGGGGACTGGGGATGGCTGCGGCGCTATAGGAAATGAGCCTAATGACGTACACCTGACCACCCCCGACCAGGGGCGCACCCAGGAGTCGGGGTGAATACGTGTTCCCTTCATAATCGGGGGGGGGGGGCTTATAAGATAGGTACTGAATTTTTAATTATCCCTATGGTGATTTCTTGACCAAACATGTATTTCAAAGTCCTTCGCTGTTGCCTTTGTGATTTGCTGATGTGCCGTCCCTTCTCGTGTCCTTTGTGTTTCTACTTTCTACATCCCCATTTTCTTTGTCTGGTTACGCCGCTGCCGACACCTGTGTGACATCCAGCGCTGACCGGCTGTGGCCGTCCTAAATCTGCCAGTTGGACCCAGGGTGGCCACCGAGCACCGTGCCAGTCTGACTCTCTTTCCTCCTCACTCCGCAATCCTCCCTCTGTGTTTACGCTGCCATTCGCCGCGCGCCAAGATCGTCCGTGCTCCTCTCCCGGAGATACTATCGATTTCCGGACACCCGACCTCCCCAGTCGCCGCAGACAGACCGTGCGCTGCCAGCTCGCGCGCTGTGAGCTCTCGCGCTGCCAGCTCGCGCCCTGTGAGCTCGCGCGCTGCAAGCTCGCTGTGTAGCTCCAGCGTAGTGATCGTAACTGTAGTGCACACTCTCATAGTGTCGCTCCGTGCGAGGGTGTCTCGGGCGGTGGAGTCGGACTCTTTGTGCGTAGTGCGTGAGATAGCACCTGTGGCGACTCCGTCCGGCCACCGGCTATTCAGACTCGGACCTGCTCGACAGCTGTGCGTTCCTTCCTTGCGATTGAACACTGCCGTCCTTCATTCTCGGCAGGTTGCTACCTGTGCCGTTCCTAGTCGCGTTTTATAGACTGAATTTCAGATTCTTAGACTAATTCTTCCTCCTCAGAGCTCCGTTCACCGTCCATCAAATTCCCATCTCCCTACCACCCTCATTCTCCCCTCCCCTCCCCTCACCCCCGTCTCGCCGTTCTGATGTGTCTACGGCGCTGCTGCCGGTGTCTGTGCTGCGCAGGCTGCTGCTGCTGCCAGTCGCTGGCGCTGGCTCTCCTCACCGCCTGTGTGGTGGTCGTCGTCCTGGCCGGCATCACCGTCGTCTCGGCGTTCTCCATCATCGGCTACCCGTGGCACGCCTCCTGCCAGGCAGACTGGTGAGTCAGACTACCCGTGGCACGCCTCCTGTCAGGCAGACTGGTGAGTCAGACGGGGGCTCAGAGGGGCGAATGGGTGTGGAACTGGGGAGGGTCAGGTACGCCTCCTGTCAGCGGATTGGTGAGTGAGGAGTGGGCTCGGAGGAGCGGAGGGTGTGGTGAGTGGGAGTGGTGGATGGAGGGCTGTAGAACGAGGGCTTAGCAAGACGTGTAGGTTCAGGGAAACGGAACGGGAGGAGGCACCGGGACCGGGAATCCGTCGCTTTTCACGGATTCCCGGTATACAATTACGGCTATTTAAGTTCAAGGCAGGGCTGCGGAGTCGGAGTCGGAGTCGGAGTCGGTCGGAGTCGACAGTTGTGACCGGAGTCGGAGTCGGAGTCGGAGTCGATTTTAGAAACCCGAGCCGGAGTCGGAGTCGGAGTCACCGAAAATCTGTCGACTCCGCAGCCCTGCTAGGTCTGCGGAGTCGGAGTCGGGAGTTGGAGTCGGTCGGAGTCGACAATTCTGCCCGGAGTCGGAGTCGGAGTCGAAGCTGGTTTTTGAAAGCCGGAGTCGGAGTCGCCGAAAATCCATCGACTCCGCAGCCCTGGTTCAAGGAAACTAAAACCCAATCGTATTGGATTTTGGTGAAGCGAGGAGTACCGAAGAACAGGTCCCAGTCAGGCCTCAGAGGCCCCAGCCCCTACTGTGCTAGCTTTGTCAAAGCCGAGTCTTCAGCTCATGCAGCGTGCACATGTGCCATTTACGGGTGTGCCGCCGTTTAGCCGGACTACATATGTGTAGAACCGGTTTGATCGCCCCCAGCGATCGCTTATCTTGCCTTGACCTGTTCTGAATTGTCATGCAGCCATTTCAGTTTTGTGGTTTATATTGTGAGCACGCCATGTTAGATGGAATGCCGCCGTAATCCTTCTTTGTAAATGAGGCCAAGTTAGCCCCAGCTTTTTGAAATGGCGTAGTATTATTGTGTAATTTATGCTAATGTGGGATTGTTTAGCACTGATTCGCGGTTAGACCAGCTAAGTACAGTAATCAATCCAAGCATATGTCAAGCAGGCATAAGTACATAAGCTGTATGCTATCGAGTCTCGGCTTGGACTGAGCTCCGCTTATGCGCTGTCTGACTCTGTCATCCTTTTACCACCTCTTTGTATTGGACTGATCCCTGGAGCCGGTGAAGCCCCACTGTCCCGCGCCTGCTTGTTCACCTTGGCGAAGCCTCTAAAGAGACCGTCGATGTTTTACATCTACCCTACCCCTCCTCAGTCCAGCGCGTGTCTACGATGCTTGTGCCCATGGCTTTCGCACTGACGAAACATTCATATGTGTGAGGTTCATACTGGTGATGTAACTTTCATATTCGTGACATGATACTCATACTTGTGAGTTGTGACGTCTACTTTCGTGACGTTCATACTCATAGACATGTTTAAATTGTGACATTGCTGCCTATGACCTGAATGTCCGATACACTCCTACCCTTAACGCCCCTGACGTCACCGACCGCTGACGCTGGGCCGTCGGCGCCCGCAGGACGTTCGGCAAGCCGTGTCAGGATGTGATGACGTCGATCGTGGACCAGATGCGCGCCTGGGAGGGCGAGGACGGCTGTGCCGCCGGCGGCGAAAAGTGTCTCTACCAGGTGAGCGCCACACGCGGTGTATGCAGATGGTAATAGGAACAGATGATGATTTGGTAATTGTGCCAGTGCCAGGTTGAGCGTTGCATGACGTAAGGCGACTTACTGTTTTACATCAATGATCAGCCGTCAATGATCGTAATTGATCAAGCTTACAGTATTGTATTTTCGTTTTTCACTTGTCTCTTGCGCAGACGCACGACGTGTTTTTCAGTAGATACCCTACAAAGTCCCAAGAAGCCGTAAAGAAGTACGTTACGCCACTCAGGACACTTGACACCTCAGTCAGTTAAAAGCCGTGTCTGCCTCCAGTGTCTGCCTCCAATCCGCAGTTGACAGCGCCTTAGATCTGCCCTACCGGTCTGACACCCCCTCTCCCTTACAGCTGATCAGCGCCAGCGGGGACACCGTCACGGGCACCCACACCACACCCGTCTCCCACTACGTGGACGAGCTGACGTTCACCTTCGTCAACGGCTCGGCGACCGGCGCCTGCCGCATGCAGGTAAGACGTCCCGCCCCCCGGCGAGATATCGATCGGGCTTGGTGCAAATTCTTACCGCTGAATGTAAATAACACATGTAACTTGATGCGTTGACAGCAATGTTTGGAATTAGTTTGATATGCGTGAATTGCAGCTAGTACTAATGCTACGATTATTTGTGAATGGAACAAGTGGAACTTTGAGGCTGCTTTCATGACTACGAGGTTTGTTAGACACCAACGTCGTGTTCTTGGCCTCATGCATTGAGACTGGCGGGCTGAAAGGGGGCGGATACCAAATTGATCGTGTATCCATTTCTTTCCACAAACTGCCACAGATGACACGTCACGGACCGTGGCTCCAGTGCCTCCACCCCTCCCCCTCCCCCGTTACAGTCATCGATTCATACGTACGGCTTACTAAGCGCAGCTCTACCCTACATCAGCTGAATTTTGTTGTCAAATGGTTGCCTACCTTTGTTTCATTTTGTCCCCCAGGGGTACTCGCGCTCCAAGACCTGGTACGCCTACCTGGACAAGGGCACCAACTTCTGTAACATGAAGAACCTGATCGTGGGCTCTGGGCTGGACCAGGCCGACCCGATGTACTCGGAGAATACCAGCGACAGCGTCTGTACTCAGTACTCTTCGGCCGACTGTGAAAAGTACTGAGGCGGCCCACCTCTATCGCTAACCCGTGCCGGGGTTCGCTGCGAGGTCTTTGTGGTGTTTCACTAGCGCCAGTGGAGACAATATCTATAGTCTGTTCCATATCAAGCTTGCAGTTGGAGTTTCTTCGGCAGATCGCTCCTCCGCTAAAAAATTTGCGTCTTAAAATGTAAAGTTGTCTATACAGAAATCACGCACTGCTTTCAGCAGGGCACTTCGGCTGCAAACTTGAAACGGAACAAAGTATAGCGCTTATAATGCTTATGCTTGCCGGCTGAAGTAAGCCTAGTTTTACGATCATTACTGACGCTTGGAGGAGTATAATAATACACCTCAGCTATTTACTCGTATAGTCAATCGTGCCATTTGATTCGTCACGGTGTGTATTCGAGGTTCAGTGTGTCTACACTTAGGTACATATGATAGCATTATTTCTCTTTTTAGTCTGTTCCCTGCAGAAAAGTATTATTTGTGAACCTACATCTACGTAGGATTCAACCGTTTTGTTGTACCTCGCTTGTTTTTTCCTCATGCGAGCGCGACTAGTGTTACCTTCGCTTCGCTTTGTTTCGCCGTGGCTGTGGTGACTATGGTGATTGGATTGTTGGCGTGCTTTACCAGATGTAGCACGTGTCTGTGATATGTGGGACTTCTGTATATAATCAGGCTGCTTCCGCGTCGGAGGCGCAGGCCAGTATGTAACGAACAAATAAAAGGTGTCAGGAGAACACGGTGGAATGGTTACACAATGATTCCGCTCCGATGGGGTAAGCAGTGCTTCCAGCTGCAATCCAGAGTATTACTGAGAGCTCAGCACGGCATACCGACTCGGTTCTGCGCGATGTGGTAAATGTTTTAACTCATCATGCCATACTGTACAACCACATTAAAAAATATATCAGAGCTTCATCAGTTAGGCCCCAAAACACTAATCTGCTGCGCATGCGTAAAACAAGTATGTATTGTATCATAGAGCACCGATTGACCAAGCGCCCCGTTCCATCAACAGATCCAGGGCAATGAAGAGCCGCACGGAGAGTTTCTATCACCCGCCAATAGATGGCATGTCGCACCGGCCGCCGTCCAAACTGCGGCAACGGCCGCTACTTGACGAATAAGTCCGTGTTCCGAAAACTCGAGTTGTCTCTGAAAACGGAGACAAGTGACTGAGATAGAAGCTTCTGACGAAAGGCGATGTGAGTGTCCATCCAAAGCGACCAGAGACTGCACGAGTTATTGACTGGAGGCGCTCCATAATTCGGTGAAAATGAGACATCACTGACCCAGGAAATACACGGGACCTGCATCAGCCACGAGGGGTTCATATCACAGCTTAACATGAGCACAGCCACCGTTCTGTGAGAAGTCCCACCTCTCCCAACTCTCTTCCTTTGCTACGGTCTCCCAGCCCCCCCCCCCCCCCAATCACCGACCGCCCCCACTCCGCCCTCACCATAGACTGCCCTCAGCTCCGCCCTCACCTGAGACTGTCGGTGTGCGTTTTGTACTCCATGATAGTGTTGAGCGGCAGGTTGAGCACCCGTTTCAGCGTGTCCCGGATGCGGCCCGTGGTCGTCGAGTCGGCAGCCGTCCGGTTCCACACGGATATGATATCCTCCATGTGACGCACGCTGACTACGGCGCCGCAGATCTCGTCTCCGACCATGAACTGTTCGCCGAGCAGTGCCAGCACGAGGTTCTCCCAGCAGCGCGACGCCAGGCCCTTCCGCAGGCGCACGATCCACTTGCCGCCGCGGCTGTTGGCGTCATCCTGAGGAACAGAGAGAGGACGGTCAGAGACGGGTTAAAACAGAGTCGGAGACGGACTTGTATATAATCGGAGACGGGCTGATACAGTGGTAATGGTAGTAGTTTCCCAGGGCAGTGGAGCACCCGATACCGGTGCATCTTGCGATGCTTTGATAAAACCGTGAGGTTGTAAGCGCTCCGTGGAACATAATGGAATATTTTTCCCAAGACCCAAACATCCATCGGCTTATAGGCGCGCCTTTTAACACGCTGGTCTCAAAACAAAATGCTTGGCAGAGACGAAAATTTACCCACAATCCAACTGTATAAAATCCACCTGCATCACAGCCTCATCTCGCCCCGTAACCCAGCTGGCCATTCCACAATCTACGAGAGGCCCGCTGTGCCCTCTCGCTCTCACCTCCCACATGGGCTTGATGCCCTCCTTGAACAGGTGGTAGTCGCTGTGCACCTTCATGTCGTGGGGACGCACGCAGTGACCGTAGATCGACCAGAACTGCTCCACAGAGCCGAACCTGCGCACACAGAGGGCAGGTTAGGTGATGAGGGTGATAAGCCACGTTTGGCATCATAGGTAATGTCATAGTGGAGATGAATCGGACAGCAGACGGTAGGAGACGAACATATTGCTTTATAGGCACGCTGGTGTACTGCACACCTCAGCTTGTGAAAATGCCATTGACAGCTTATCAGCCAGTCGGACTTCACCATCGTCATTTCACCGAAATAAGAGCACGCGACCAGAATATGTAATCAACATCGGAAAATCAGCGAAGAAACAGTAGCTACCTTTTTCGGTCCAAGCGCATCACAAGACAGTCTATTCTCGATCACCGGTGACGCCACGGTCTATCCCAATTCCAACCGCTCAGTGGGACGCCACCACCACGAGCTCCCACTGACCTTCCGACCAGTTTGAGGTTCTGGTCGAAGCTGGCAGAGTTCTTGTTGCCGGGCGTGCGCTGCGTGAACCACAAACAGTGCACGTGCTCCAGCTTGTGGTGGTGTGACGGGATTTCCAGCGGCGGCTGTCGGAGGGGTCAGAGGGGTCAAATAGGTCAGCGGTCAATCGCACAAACACCAGTCACGACGAACGCACGGGCATGTAAAGGCGTCAGTCACAGCGATGTGAGGTAGATTGGAAGCTGACTAATAAGTTGAATGGACAAGAGCACTGAGCAGTGAATACAATACAGCACTATGCATTGCATAATGCACAAGTGCATAGTGCCTGGCAAGTAGATAAGCAATAAACATGTTTGATTAAAACAGCATCAGCGCAATCTGATAAAAAAAAAATCATTACTACTGTCTGAAGGAGACACTGAGCACCATAACAAAAAAAAATGATTAATAGCTTTACAGAAAAACAAAAATGGTACAGTGCAGGAGGCTACAAAATAACCAAAATACAGGATGAAAGAGAACAAAAACACTTATGTGCCATACCAGTTTGTGGCCAGTTTTCAGTTCTCTGTCCTCCTCGCCACTATCGTCACTCATTTTCAGCCTGAAACATCCAAATGTCAACTCAACAATCACCTACAAGACATAAATTAAACAATTAAAGATAAAACATGGATGGAAACTCAACCAGCCACATAGGTCACAGCAATATTTTGCAGAATATGAGCACATCTTAATATTTAGGTAAAAGCTACCCATGCTTATGCAAGCAATAAACCTTTCAACAGCCAAAATAAATCAAAGAACAAATTTGTTGGTTAAAAAGACAATAAAAAAGAATATATTAACTAGTCAGTCATTCATAAGCACAGAAATTGATTAGGTAGGTAGGTACTCACGCTTCAAATTGATTTCCAGATTTGCCACTCATTTTTGGTTGATAATCCTGATGAACCCAGCCCACTGCTGTAGCCAGTGTAGGAAAACCCTGCTTCAGTGGAATGAATGAATGAAATGTTTACTGATGCAACTCTGATTTAATGAATGTCAAAATGCAGATTCACTTCAGAGCCCCTTTTTTGGACGTTTCTGGTTTTCTAGCACAGCCTGAAAAAGAAAAAAATGTGATTATCATTTAGCACACTCTTTCCTCCAAGCATATCATTAAGCAGGTGACAGATAATGTCAGGTAAGCAGCTATGCAACATTGATCTGAGCTTTGACCTCCTGCCACCAGTGTATGTATGCAATATGCATACCAACCAGGCAGCCTCAGGTCAGCTCTTTCTATTGCTGGGTGATGATTATCCATTACATGAAGAGTTCACTGGGAATACAAACACAAACACAAAGGTCACCAACTGATGGTGATGGTCAGCAAAACTGGTGGGAGCCGCAGCCAGCTGTAGTAAGTTGAGTAGCAGCTTGAGTAGCAGTATCTGCAACTGGCTATGGGTGCTTTTGACTTTGGCATCCAAATTCTGGCACATAGGCCAGTTTAACCAACAGAAAAATAGCCAACCTCTGGAATTATTTGCTTCACATACGGAGCATAAGCGGGATGGGCACATAAACGGATAGGGCTTTACTGTTTGCACTCCAAATGTGAAGCCGTCTTAAGGCGAAAAATTCTGGCAGACAGCTATTTTTCTGTTGGTAAAACTGGCCTCATGTGAAGAATTTATCTACCAAAACAGTTTCTACTAAATGCTTAACAGTTTTAGTTTCACATCCTTGTTTTTTATTGAAATAACTAGAAAATGCAAGGCTACCACAGTCAGTTCTCTATATAGGTACCGTGCCACAGTCCATGTCGATGTCAGTATGCTGATGCACTGACGTGGACGTGCACTGACGAAAGCAAATGAATCAAGTGAATATGGCGTGACCTATGGCTAACACTGCCAAGATTCCTACATTGACATTTCAATTAAACTTCAACTTCAACTGAGCTATGTCTTGATTCTTAATTTCAATTTCAATGAATCAGATTCTGTTATTGTGAGTTATCAATCTTTCCGGTCACATTTTGTCTGACTCAAGATTCTTCAACAGTCCAAGGTCGTATATAGGAGACAGTCGGACTCCGATGAAATAAAGAAAAAGATAAATCGCCCTAGCTTCTCGCGAGGACCTGTCTTTTTTCATGGCACATTCTACAAAGCACAAACGCGTGAGTCTGAGTCAAATACATAAATCCAAGATTCCTTTACTTTACTTCATAAATCATTTTGGATATGGTAGCTGAGATATCAGATATGGTAGCTAATGTCGTCTACATTTCCAGCGTTGCTTAGACAAACTTAGTGCACAGTATTTGATATTGTATGGGGATTCTACAGTGACGTTATTAAAACAAATGAAAACTTCAAGCCTTCAGGACATTTTTATTTTGAAATAACTACGGAAAGCTTTTATTTTCATGAATTAAATTCAAAAAATGAATTAAGCCTATGATAAGTATAAGATTTATGCTGTTAAAACTTACCTTGCATTTAAAACTTTTTATCTGTACGATGTTTATGACGTCATTTGCGACTTAAAACATTTTATGTGTCAAGTAAACGTTGTTTGGTTTTCACGCCGGCTAAGCGAGAGAGGCGCGGTGTGGGGAGGATAGGTATTTTATATTTATTTCCTTTTTATCCGCTTGGTCATTTTTCTGGGGCGATTCTTCGTTCAACAACTGGCGACTGGCTAACAGGTACATAGACATCATGACAAAAATAATTGGTTTTGAGCTGTGCAAAGGCTGACCTTTTTTGTTACGGCGCGTGCAGTTTGTACCATGGTTTGTACATAATGTGTTAATACAAGATTTTTTATTTTCAGGAGTGATGGCTGCCCAACTTGTTCGGGATGCATTCCCGCACATGGATGATGATCTCTTCCAGTATGTGGAAGGTATGTATGAATACAAATATGCATGCACATGTGGGGCATGTTTGCGGAAAGTTACGGTACCTAACAATTAGAAACAGCTGGTTCAGCGAGCTTGTGGCCAGAGGTGGTAGGTAAGGTACCTAGTTAATTTATTTTGTTTTATTGGGGT